AAAAAAAAAAAAAGGATTTCGTGATCAAATCCCGGGCCGACCTCCACTCATGACGTCCTCGCACCAACCCACGTCTTCGGTGCGAGCCAGCAGCGATGGCGATGATCACCATTCCTCGTCTGTGGGCCAACAGCTCGTTTCGGCCCGAGCATCTTCGCATTCCAGCAGCCATAATGGTCCGGCCTCCGATGCCGCCGCCCCCGGGGTACCTTCGGGACCCTGCATGAACGAGCCCGCTCCATCGGCGCTTTCTTCTCGCTCCGGCGGCATCCACGCATCTCCTCAGAAGCACAGCGACGACAGCGACTCGGACCAAGACGACGCCGCAGATAATAACGATCCCGAGTCGCTCTCGGCCAGCTTCTTGTCCCAACTCCGCAGCGACCCGAGGACCCCAACGGCGCGCTACTCGTTCGACGACCACCACGACTACTTCCACCGTCTAGAATTCGAAGCCCTCGTCCAACAACAGCAGCAACAGCAGCAGCCGGCCGACACCATGGCTACCTCCACCCCACCTGGCGAAGCAGCAGTGCGATCTTCTTCGTCCTCGTCCTCGTCTCGGGATCGCTCCTCATCGCCAGCTTCTGCATCGACCGCCATCAATGCCGATCAAACCTCCTCGCGGCCCAAACTCGTCACGCTCGATTCGGGCGCAAGTGCAAGCCTCAGCAGCGTCAAGACTCGCAAGCGCTCCAACTCGGCAGACGGCACCGTGTCGTACGCCAGCTTCCGCAATGGTCGCTATGTTGCGCGTCCACGACATGCCCACCCGGGTCCGCCTTCGCTCGAGCAGATCGTGCGCACCGTGCGCGGCCCACAGCCATCCGACCGCCCCGGGTCATCCAGCGCCAGACCGCGCTCCAATAGCCGCTCCTCCGATCACGGCCCCATCGGCTGGTCACAACGAGGCAACATGGCCATGTTTGCTGATGCAGGCATTCCCGGCACCAGCTTCCCGCATCCTGACGTGCTTGGTGCTGCAGCGGTGACCGCCGCTAGTCAGGCGCATGGCGAGGCGGGATCGGCCGCCGACTTTGAGAATACCATCCAGCCGTGGGACTCTCCACGCATCCCGGCACGAGCGCTCGCTGCTCACGCCGTTCCTGCACAGCCGGTGCCTCTGGCAGCTACCAAGGGCAGAGTCGGCACCAGCCACTCGATCGACGGCTCGGACCTCGCCAGCAACCAGCTGCGTCGCAATCAATCGCGCGCATCACGCGCAGCCACCGACGCCGCTTCCCTCTCGCCACCACAAGACCAGCCCAGTGGTCCTGAAGATGACGGCGTGAACAACCAGGACAAGGAAAACGAAAAGGAGAAGCCTACTTTCAAGGAGCGTTGCAGAGATACCGTCAAGAGCATCCGTCTTTCGTCCAACTACTTTGCCCTGTACAAAGCAGCCGACCGCACCGACGTTGCGCTGCTCGTCATCGGCATCATTGCAGCCATCGGTTCTGGCGTGCCACTGCCGCTCATCGGTATCCTGTTCGGCCAGCTCATCGACGGATTCAACAGCGCCTCGTGCGGCTCGTCCTCGGTGCCCACCGACAAGAACGCCTTCCTCTCCTCGGTCGACGACAAGGTAGGCAAGATCGCCATCATCGCCGCCGTCAACTTCTTCCTCATCTGGACCTACACGACCTGCTGGTCCAACCTCGGCGAGCGGCTGGTGCGCAAGATGCGCCAGCGCTATCTTGCCGCGGTCCTACGACAGGACATGGCCTTCTTCGACACGCTCAAGCCGGGCGAGGTGGGCACGCGGCTGTCGGCCGACCTGCTCACCATCCAGAACGGCACGAGCGAAAAGATGGGCATCCTCATCTCGTCGCTCTCGTACTTTGTCACGAGCTACATCGTGGCGTTCATCAAGCTGCCCCGGCTTGCGGGGCAGCTCGTGTCGCTGCTGCCCGCGTTCGGAATCGTCAGCATCGTCGGGTCGAGGTTCGTTGCAAATGCGCAGAAGAACACCTCGACCCATCTGTCGCATGCGGCGAGTCTGGCGGCTGAGGCGCTCAACAACTTGCCCGTCGTCCAGGCGTTTGGTGCGCAGAAGAGGCTCTCGAACATCTACCAGAGCCATCTGGAGCGTGCTCGTAGGCAAGGCACGCTCAAGGCGCTCGCGGCAGCTTGTGTGCTCGGCGCGCTCTTCTTTGTTGGATACTCGGCTAATGCGCTGGCGTTCTTCTCGGGCTCCAACCTGATCGCGTCGTCCGGCAACCCGGGCACCGTCGGATCCGTGTACACGGTCATCTTCCTACTGCTCGATGCGTCGTTCATCGTGGGTCAGATCGCGCCGTATCTGCAGACGTTCTCGGCGGCATCGGGCGCGGGTCAGGCGCTGCGCGAGACCATCGACAAGGTCTCGCCCATCGACGCCACCAACGCCTCGCATGGCATCATGCCCCAGCCGGGCGATGTGGCCGACATTGCAGTCGAGCTCAAGGACGTCGAGTTTAGCTATCCCGCGCGCCCGGACGAAAAGGCGCTGCACGGACTCAGCATCTCGGTGCCCGCCGGACATCGTGTGGCGCTGGTGGGCTTGTCGGGCTCCGGCAAGTCGACGGTCGCTGCGCTGCTGCAGCGATTCTACGACCCCACCTCCGGTCGGGTTTTGCTCAACGGCACCGATGTGCGCGAGTACAACGTGCGCTGGCTGCGGTCGCAGATCGGCGTGGTGGGTCAGGAGCCGGTGCTGTTCGACTGCTCCATCATGCAGAGCATCGCGCACGGCCTCGTTGGCTCGCCCGCCCACAGCCACCTTCACGAGACCGTCCTCGCGTTCTCCCAAGTCGGACAGGAGAAGACCGGCACGGAGCTCGAGCACGTGCTCACGACGAGCGAGCAGCTCGAGCAGCTCGACGAGATCAAGGCGCTCTGCGTGCGCGCAGCCAAGCTGGCGGGCGCGCACAACTTTATCGAGCGTCTCCCGCAGGGTTACGATAGCCAGGTCGGCGAGGCGGGCGGCAAGCTCTCGGGCGGGCAGAAGCAGAGGATCTCGATCGCGCGTGCGATCGTCAAGCAGCCCAAGCTGCTCATTCTCGACGAGGCGACCGCGGCGCTCGACTCGCATTCGGAGCATGCGGTCGCCAAGGCGCTCGACAGCATCTCGGAGGGCGTCACCACCGTCGCTATCGCTCATCGACTCGCGACGATTCGCAACTACGACCAGATCGTCGTCATGGGCGCAGGAAAGGTGCTCGAACAGGGCACGCACAAGCAGCTCCTCGCGCTGCGCGGATACTACTACAAGCTCGCCGCGGCTCAGGACACCGGCTCGCGCGCGGACGAGGGTGCGGATGAGACGGATGCCGACAGCGGGGTCGAGGACGATCTGCCGGCAGAAGAGGTTGAGCGACGCACGCGCCAGAGGATGGACGATGTGGCCGAGGGCGACGAGAGCGAAGGTCTCGAGGGGGAACGCGACGAGTCCAATGCCGACTCGCTCGAGTCGAGCCGCGCGACGCTCCGGCGCAACAGCAGCGACGATGCGCAGAAGGACAAGGCCGCCGCTGGTGGGGTGCCCGACGAGCCCACCGAAAAGGAGGCCACCGAGGCGCAGATCGAGCAGCACAAGGGACGCTATCCGCCGCGCGTGATTCTGCGCCGTGTGCTGTGGCTCGTTCGCCGCGAGTGGGCGTTCATCCTGCTGGGTCTCTTCACGAGCACCATCATGGGCGGCTCGTACTCGGGCGAGGCGGTGCTGTTTGGCCACGTCATCGAAGCTCTTAATCCGCAGTGCCATTCGCCGGACGGCGTGCGCAGCTCCGGCCGCGAGTTCGCGCGCTACTTTTTCATCCTTGCGCTCATCCAGCTGGTGGCGTACTCGATCAACGGGCTGGTGTGGGGGCTGGTGGCCGAGAGGTTGCTGTTCCGACTGCGTCGCGTGTCGTTCAACACGATGATGCATCAGCGGCTGACGTGGTTCGAGGCGCAGGACCAGAATCCAGCCTCGATGATCGCCTCGCTCTCCAACGACGCCAACAATCTCGGCGGCGTCACGGGCACCGTGATCGGCACCATCTTTTGCATCTTTGTCAACCTGCTCGCCGGCATCATTGTATCGCACGCCATCGCATGGCGCATTGCGGTGGTGATCCTGGCACTCGTGCCGATTATTCTCACTGCGGGGTATCTAAGGCTCAAGGTGCTGGCGGATTTCCAGAAGCGGCACGAGACGGCGTACATCAAGTCGAACGCGCTCGCCATCGAGGCGGTGCAGTGCATCCGGACCGTGGCGAGTCTGGGCAGGGAGGACGATGTGATGCGCAAGTTCGAGCGGTCGCTGCAGAAGCCCTACCGCGAGTCGATGCGGCACTTTTTGTTCGGCAACGTGTTTTTGGCGCTTGCGCTGAGCATCAGCTACTTCATCTACGCCTTTGCGTACTGGTGGGGCAGTCAGAACATCGCCGAAGGGCGATACTCGCAGACGGCCTTCTTCATCGTGCTTCCCGCACTGCTGTTTTCGGCACAGGCCAGTGGGCAGCTGTTGGCGTTCGCGCCCGATTTCAGCAAGGCCCACGTGTCGGCGGCGAACTTTTTCCGGCTGATGGACCAGAGGCCGGAGGCGGTGCAGGAGAAGATGGGTAAGGATGTCGAGGGTGCGGCGCAGGAGGGTGGGGATGTGGATGCGGTCGAGAAGACAAAGGCGACAAGGATCGAGTTCGCGGATGTGTCGTTTACCTATCCGACGCGCGAGGAGGCGGCGCTTAAGAAGGTTTCGCTCACTATCGAGCCAGGATGCTTTGCGGCGTTTGTGGGACAGTCTGGATCGGGCAAGACGACAGCCATGTCGCTGATCGAGAACTTCTACACGCCGACGAGCGGGTGCGTTCGTGTGGATGGCTTGCGCACCGACCGCACTTCGGACGCAGTGCTGCGCCGAGACATGGCGATTGTCCCTCAGGAGCCCGTGATCTTTTACGGCACGGTGCGGTTCAACGTCTTGCTTGGCTTGCGGCCGGACATGCCCAGTGCCACTGCTGCTCGCAAGTCCAAGCGGGGACGGGGTCGGGAGGAGGATGAGCTTCTGGCGCCTTACCGCGAAGACGTGTCTTGGCAGACGAGTGTTTCGGACTCGGACATCGAGGCGGCCTGCAAGGCGGCGGGGATTCACGAGACCATCATGTCCTTCCGCAAGGGCTACGACACGCTCATCACATCGTCGCAGCTCTCGGGTGGACAGAAGCAGAGGCTGTCGATTGCGCGTGCGCTGATTCGCAAGCCCCGCCTCTTGCTCCTGGACGAGTCGACGAGCGCTCTGGATAGTCACAGCGAACAGGCATTCCAACAGACCCTGGATGCGATCAGGAGCGAGGGCAAGTGCACGATCCTGGCCATTGCGCATAGGATGCGCACCATCAAGGATGCGGACAAGATCTTCTTGTTCGAAAACGGACAGTTGGAGGCCCAGGGCGCGTATGCAGAGCTGGTCAAGAACAACGACTCGTTCAAGGCCATGGTCGCGTACCAGTCGCTCAACTAGTCGTCCAACTAAGGCAAATGACAATTGGATTGAAAGCCAAGAATGGTGTGTGCGGCGTTGCAAGGCGATAGTGTCGTGGGCTCAGTGGAGAAGGTGGCGATACAGGACGGCATGCAAGGCGGTCAATGCCGTGCGTATGAGTCGCTGAGCCTAGAGCCACGTGGTTGCTCATGATATCGACAGTCGCGCAAACCAGACGAGCGGGGTTTTGAAGCAAAGGGATGGTATGCGGCGAGAGAGCGGTGCAAAATGGCGTGCAAGGCCGACGTGTTCGAGGTTGTTGTGCTCAATGTGGCGCGTGAATCGAAGCAAACAACGCACGTCCATGAATCGAGCACAGACAAGGCCGAGGCTGCTGTGATGGATCCGCAGCGATTCTTGAGATGGTTCGGCGTGATGGCCAAGAGCAACCACCGAGACTGCCTGTGATGCGAGGGTACACTTGTCAACGGCGATGCGAATGGCGCCAGTCGATGGGACCATCTCGTGCACCTCCTCATCGCCTTGGTCTCCGCTGCTTGCCATCGTGGTCTCGCACTCAATCCATACGGGTGCAGATCTCAGATTGGCGTCGCCAACACAAGGTCCGTTTGGAAAGAATGCGATTGGAAGCGCCGATGTAGTGTGCTGTGTGCGCATTTTTAATGTACAGAGCGATGACGACTAGTGCGTGCCGAGGTAGCGTTGGAGGACGGGATTGTTGGTCTCTTCGTGGTAGAGGTATCCGAGGCCATTGAGAAAGGCGTCTAGGCTTGCGTGGTCTGCGTGGGGAGCCTGGATGCCCAGGAGGATCTTGCCGACGTCGGCGCCGTGGTTGCGGTAGTGGAAGAGGGAGACGTTCCAGCCGGACTGCATGCCAACGAGGAACTTGCGCAGCGCACCGGGACGTTCGGGAAACTCGAAGCGGAAGATGCGTTCGTTGGGCACGGCGGTTCGACCACCCACGAGGTAGCGCAGATGCGACTTGGCCACCTCGTCGCCCGACACATCGAGAGGCGTCATACCATCGGCGGTGAGTGCGGCAAGGATGCTGTCCAATTCCGAACCTCCCGAGAGCGTGGATGCAGCAAGAGAGTCGGCGAGACGCGAGGGGTCGAGCGATGCAGTGCTTGAAGCCATGGATGCCGAAGAAGCGTCGCCCAGCTCGGGGACGGGGAGTGCGCCTGCAGCCGGTGGTTCCGGAAGGGGTGCTTTGGTGCCGTTGAGCATAAAGGAGAGCAGGATCTGTGCGCGCTGGCTGTCGGCATAGCGGTAGCTGAACTCGGTGACGGCGCGCGGGTGGATGTGGTTGTGCAGCTTGAGGAACGCACCCGGTTCCTCGGGGATCTCGACGGTGAGCAGCGCCTCCTTGTTCTCGCCCAGCTCGGCACGTTCGGCCACAAAGCGCAGCCGCCCAAAGTTCATGTTGGCACCCGACACGAGCGCGACAAACTTGTTGCCCGAGCCGGCAAGGCCGTGTGTGGCAATGTAGCGCTTCATGCCTGCGACGGCGAGCGCGCCCGAGGGTTCGGGGATGGAGCGCGTGTCTTCAAAGACGTCCTTGATGGCGGCGCAGATCTCGTCGTTGGTGACGCGCACGACGCCGTCGACGGTATCGCGGCATACGCGGAAGCACTCTTCGCCCACGATGCGCACCGCCGTGCCGTCGGCGAAGAGGCCGACCTCGTTGAGCAGCACGCGCTGGCCCTTTTCGAGCGACTGGGCGAGCGCGTCGGCGTCATACGTCTCGACGCCGATGACTTTGACGTGGGGCGGTGCGATGCGCTTGATGTACGCGGCGACGCCGGCGAGCAGACCGCCCCCGCCGACGCAG